AAATTTAAATTAATAAATTTAAATTAATTTATTATTTAATAATATTGAAACACGAATACAAAAAAATACATTCATTAAAATAAAAAAACGACAATATTAAAAAAGATATATTAATTAAAAAAAACTAAGGTAAATTATATTTCGCCTTGATCTCTCTTTGTCTTTGCTCGTATATCATCCGTTTGAAACCCGACAACTTAGAAAGGTCAGTTTCCATGATTTTAAATAAAAAAATTACATTCATTAAATAAAAAAAATTGCATGCATTATAAAAAACTACATTAATTAAATAAAAACATTACATTCATTAAATAAAAAAATTGCATTCATGAAAAAATAAATAAAATACTTGAATAATAATTTTTTTTTAAAAAATGATAGATAGAGAGAATTTTGTATTTGTGTTGAATTTTTAAAAAAAATTAAATTTAATTTATAGAGAAGAAAAGAAGAAAAAAGAAGGAGAAAAAGGAAGGAAGAAGGCGTGATAATGCCTTCAAACCGCGTCAAACCTTTAACGCAAGTATTTTAACGCCCTTTTAACGGGGGAGGGGGGCGGTGTTTCACGCCCCCCAGGCGTCAAAACTTGCCTAACGCCCCTTGGCGTTAGCAGTATTTCCACTGCTCTTATAAAAATTAGTACTCATTTACATTTTACATAGATTTACATGCATACAGATAGGGGTGGGCAAAAATACCGGACCAACATTATTCCGAAACGAATCGACATTGTACCAAACCGAAAAACGTTTTTTTAAATAATTCTTGTAAATTGTATCCCGAATCGAACCGTTTTTAAAATGGTACGGCCGTACGGGACAGGTTCCCAAAAAATAAATACCGAACCGAAATGTTCTCATTATGTTAAAGGAAGAGAATATAAAGGAATATTTGGATGTATATTCTTTTGGTAGTTTCCTTGTATAGGAATTTGTTTCCTTTGTTGATTAGGATTCTCAGCATGTGAGAGCCTATATATATGACTTCTTTGTAAATTGTAGAGATGAGAAATATAAGAGAATTTCATCCCAAATAATTCTTTCATGGTATCAGAGCCTAAACCCTAGAGGATTTCCGCGGCTACTGTTCACGATCGACCGGCATCGCGTCCATCGATCATCGCTCGTTGTTGCTGCCGTACCACCAGAACGGTCGACCGTTGCTAAAGAACGGTCGAGTGGGTCGACCGTCACGACGCCAATTTGCCTTGATCGCTGCTTTTGTTCGCCCCATCGTTGACCTTCATCATCTGGCATGTTTGAAGAGTCACTCATGAAGATTATTTCCAACAAGAAGAATGAGGAAGGAGAGGAAAAAGTTTTTTCGCTGCTACCCAATTTCGAGGATCTGAACCTGGAGCAGTGGAACGTTGTTCGTCACGCCCTTGCATTGTCCCCTACAGACACCAATCAGAAACTTACAGGTATTACTATGTCACCACGTTGGATTATTGATATGGGTACATCAAATCATATGACAGGTGATCTTTCGTTATTTTATGATGTGGTGGGTGTGACTTCATGCGAAATTGGGTTACCCGATGGAAAACGAGTAGTATCTGTTCAATCTGGAAAGGTTTATTTTACAAGGACTATGACACTACAGAATGTGTTGTTTGTTCCAACTTTGAGTTGCCATTTGATCTCGGTCTCACAATTGACAAGGGATTTGAACTCTGACGCAAAGTTCACCAATGATGTGTGCATATTACACGACCTGAGTTTGAGAACAACGATTGGTGTGAGTAGACATGAAGGAGGAGGATTGTACTATTTGAAGAAGGAGGAAAGAAGCATGACATGTAGTACTACAAAGGAGAATTCCTTTGACCTTTGGCACAAGCGTCTAGGACATCCTTCTTCACATGTTTTGTTCTTAGTTCCTGGAGTTGGTTCAAATAAAAGTAGTCATAGTCATTGAGATGTCTGTTTACGTGCTAAACAAACTCGTGCTAGTTTTCCCATCAGTTTCCATCAATCTTTGGATTAATTTGATATGGTGCATTGTGATTTATGGGGTCTTTATCGGACGCCGAGTTTGGATGGTTCTACAATGTTTTTTACTATTGTGGATGATTTTTCACGTGGTGTGTGGGTATATTTGCTTGATTCTAAGCGGATAGTAGGAAGTATGTTTTTAAGCAATTTTGTGCCATAGTTGAACGCCAATTTGGGAACAAAATAAAGTGTGTTTGCAGTAACAAAAGCACATAATTCGAATGCTTGAATGATTAATTTCTGGAAAAAGGAATTATTCATGAGACATTTTGTGTGTCTACACCGTAGCAGAATGGAAGAGTGGAACGCAAACATCGTCATATTCTGAATGTAGGTCGAGCTTTAAGATTTCAGGCAGGGCTTCCTATTGAATTTTGGGGAGATTGTATACAAACCGCGGCATATTTGATCAACCGCACACCCTCTTCATTGCCAGGGGGGTTACACCGTATGAGAAGCTCTATGGAACAGTTCCTACGCGGACCCACATATGTGTTTTTGGTTGCAGATGTTATGTACACAATTTGAAAAGAGATGGAGATAGTGTAACGCCCTGCAACCCAGTCTAATAGAATTGGTTAATTTAATTAATCAATTACTGTTCCGGACCGGAGTTGGAGAAAATGAAAAGTTCTTAGAAAAATTATTTGATCATATCATTAAATTCTTCTTGGCTGTCTGATTCCAGAAGTGCAAACGGATCTCAATTCGGACCCGTTTGGGGGGAAAGCGTGTACCATTCAGGTTAGACTTTACATAACGGAGTAGAATAAAGATTGTAACCCCCCCAATTAATCCCATACGCCACCCTTAACCCCCATCATTACCATCACCATTATTTCCTAATCATTACTCTAAATTAAAACCCCCATCTCTCCCTTCATTTGTCTTTCCACTTTGTAACTCCCAAGAACCCCTCTCACTCTCTCTTCCTCTCCCCTTCATTCGGCCAGACCAGCAGCAAGGAGGACCTCCGGCGAAGCTCCGGCGGGTGCAAGGTTTAAGGAGAAGAAGGGCTAGGGCGTTCGTGCGAAGCGNACTCTCTCTTCCTCTCCCCTTCATTCGGCCCGACCAGCAGCAAGGAGGACCTCTGGCGAAGCTCTGGCGGGTGCAAGGTTTAAGGAGAAGAAGGGCTAGGGCGTTCGTGCGAAGCGAAGTCGTCGTTCGTCCGTTCGTTGGCGTCATTCGTTCATCTCGTTCCATCTGTCCCTTCGTTTAGAGGTGAGTAGTTGTCCCTTTAATGCTAGAACATTTAGTTATAATCTATGTCGTTATATTCGTAGGAATATCGTATGCAACCTACGTAGAATCTATGCATGTTCGTAGGTTAACCATCCAACATACGTGTGTCCATGTTATCAAGTTAAGTGCTCGTTAGTATAAATGTTTTGAAACCCTGTAAGTCTATCGATTATCTAGCATGGAAATATAAACATTCGTTTCTAAAACTTCCAACGTTTTGATAACAAACAAACAGATATAATGGAAGTCAGCGTGTCTTGATAATCGAGCTACAGAATAGTACAATCGACTGTCAGGCCACGCTTGACTCCTTAGTTGATTCAGCACAGCGTGATAATCGATTATCACATATGCGATAATCGACTATCAGGCCCTGCGGATTCTTGGGACTGAGTTGGCTTCACTGATAATCGATTATCACACAGGCAATAATCGATTATTAGGTCTCTCTGAACTTAGGACTTTCCAGATAAACCAACTTGACAATCGATTGTCATAGGGTGACAATCGATTATCATAGTCTGCAGGACTTTGGGGACAGAAGCTGCACAGCATGATAATCGATTATCAACAGCAGACAATCGATTATCAGCTAGTTCTGAACCCAAGGCCATCATGTTGAACAAATTGTAATCAAACACATATGTATGAATTGAATTTAACTCTCTTCTTTAATCAATGCATTCTCCATGTTTGTTCTAGACGCATGTTCTAGGTTTTCATCATGTGCATACCGCTGTAGGGAGGATTCCGTGCGCCTACTACAGTGGGCCCGTCCAGGTACCTTTGGGGACCAACGGGTTTTCATCATGTTGGGCTTGTGTACGTACATAGTAGTCAGGTTACGGCTACTACCCGGTTTTGCTAGTCCACTCGCGACATCTTAGTCGTGTCCGGCTCGTTGCCGTTTGGGGACGATGACCGGAGTGCAGGGGTGATCATGTCGAGTGAGACTAAGCTAGGGGTGTCCCTGATAGTTTAAGTCATGCATCAGGTCATTTATCATCATCATGTATGTTCCTTATTATTCGAGATAGCTTAAACAGGTGAAAACTAAACACTTAGTAACGTGTGGTTTTCCCGTACGTTAAGTACAGGTATTAATATGGGTATAGCCATATGGGTTATCACTTAATGTTCTTTTGTTAGATTCACTCCTCAGCTTTTGCTGAGCGTGTAGTTGTTTTTGCTACACGCAGGTAGACATGACGGAGCAAGTGCCAACCCTGGAGAGCAGTGACGATGGAGAGATGGGCGGCGCACGGACACACTCATATTTACTTTTAATTTCTTAATTAATCTTTTGGGCATGAACCCACCCTTGTCATTATTTAGTTTGGACTGGACTTACTTATTTACTTCCGCATTTACTCTGCACATTTACTACACACGTTTTGGGAATAACTCCCTGGCATTAATTCCCTAATCAAAACACAACTGTTTTCTTATTAAATAATCATCAATGTTTTTGTAACGAACGGTTCTCGGACGGTCCATGTAACCCTGCCGGTTCGTCGGGACGCAGGTGAACCGGGTCCACAGAAGGCGGGTGTTACAATTTGGTATCAGAGACAGGTTCGGTTTTGTGAAAAAAAATATATTGTCATTTTGGGTCAAAAGGTATTTTTCAAAAGTCCACAGCCGCATCTCCCATCGCATCACTCCCAGGGAAAGGTACACCGTTATTTAGATCACATGTATGTCATATTATAATTAGTTCTGATTTAAGTTATTCCTTTAGAGAGAATGAGTCAAGCAGCTGGCAATGACGGACAGGCAGTCCCAGAGGGGGAGCGTGAGCACGTGAGCGTGCACACTAAAGCGTCGAGCTTCACACCTCAGCAGGCCTCCGAGCAGGCAGTCCCGGGCGTGGGCGCTATACCGGAAGCCATCCCTATTGTCCAGCCGCAGTTCGCGGCTAACTTCATGAACTTCCTCTAACAGATGGCTGCAGCTTACGTGCCACCACCGCCACCACCGCCGCCACTAGTGGCGGTGGTCACTATCGAGAAACTCTGGAAGAATGGAGCTGAGGAATTCTTGGGCGATCAGATCGCCGACCCCATGATTGCCAAACGGTGGTTTGAGCGAACCATCCGAGTGTTGGGGAACCTGAGGGTTCCACAGGAGCAGCATGGCGACCTCGTAGTCGCATTACTTCAGGATTCCGCCTACGACTGGTGGAAGCGTGTGGGAGCAGGCGTCCCGGAGCCCGTGCAGTGGGCCACATTTGACCGACTCTTCCACGAAGAGTACATCCCTGAGCACTTCGTCGAGGCGAAGCGGGAGGAGTTTTTGAAGTTCACCCAGGGTGAACTCACACTGCCTGAGTATCGTCAGAAGTTTGACGAGCTCGCGGGGTTTGGGCAAGACCTCGTACCGACTGTGGAGAAGCGATGCAAACTCTTCGTGGAGGGTTTACGTCCCGACCTTTCGACCCATCTGATCATTGCTCCCCGGAGTGACATCAACGCGTTGTACAAGAATGCGTTGGATTTGAATGCGGTCCTCATCAAGAAGTCTAAGTATGAGCAGACGCGGGGAGCGTCAACGGCACCATCTCGTCCTCTTCCACCCCAGAAGGCGGGGACCAGCAGCAAGAGGTCCTTTGCAGCGCCGAGCAGCTCTCCCCAGAGCAAGAAGGTGAAGTCAGCCCCAGCTCAGTCATCTGCGTCCGTACAAAAGAAGGGCAAGAGCGGAGATGGGTTTCATAACCCGATTTGCGAACATTGTGGGCGCAGGCACCCAGGGGAGTGTTGGTACACTCTTGGCTTGTGCCTTGGGTGTGGCCAGGTCGGGCATTTCCGAAAAGATTGTCCGAAGAATCCGGGTAAGGCATTCTCGACCGCACCAGCCGCTCCAGCCCCAGCAGGGCAGCCCGCCCAGAGTCAGAAGTCGGCGGCAGCATCTAGCCAGCCCAAGCGGCAGCATCTGGGGCATAGGCAGGGAAGGCCCTGGCCAGTACTTACGCGATGCGAGAGCGTACCGAGCAGCCAGCCCATGACGTCATCATGGGTATGTTTACCTTATTCGATACATCTATTACAGCTTTGATTGATCCGGGTTCCACTTTATCATATGTTTGTATGCCTATGCCTGTTATGCCTAACCTTCCGAGGGAAAATTTAGACAATCCGGTATTCGTGTCCAACCCATTGGGACACAGTCTACGACTCACCAATGTGTATCACGATTGCCCATTAGTGGTCCAGAGAAAGATTTTCCCTGCGAGTCTCATTGAACTTCCACATCGTGAGTTTGACGTTATTCTAGGCATGGATTGGCTCACCGCCAACCAAGCCGTTGTTGACTGTGGAGCTCATACTATTCGACTGAGAGCTGAAGACGGTAGTGACGTACTGATCCATGGTGAGCTTCTTTCGAAAGCTCCAGAATTCATTTCCTATATTCATGCTCGTCGACTCATACGCAAGAAGTGTGAATCATTCTTGTGCACAGTGCGTGGCACTCGTTAGGAGGCGCCTAGTAGGGGGACATCTCTACGGTATGTGACTTTCATGATGTGTTTCCAAATGACTTACCTGGTCTACCACCCCCTAGGGAGGTAGAGTTTTCCATTGATCTTGTTCCAGGAACAAGACCGATCTCGATCACACCTTATCGCATGGAGCCTGCGGAGATGAAGGAGCTAAAGGCTCAACTGCAGGAGTTGCTGGATAAGGGCTTCATTCGTCCTAGTGTGTCCCCTTGGGGAGCACCGGTTCTGTTCGTCCGCAAGAAGGACGGATCGATGCGGTTGTGCATCGATTACCGTCAGTTAAACAAAGTCACTATCAAGAATCGCTATCCGCTACCACGCATTGATGATTTCTTCGACCAGTTGAGAGGAGCCACTGTCTTCTCTAAGATCGATCTCCGATCAGGATACCATCAGATTCCAGTTAAGAAGGAAGACATTCCTAAGATGGCTTTTCGCACTAGATACGGTCATTATGAGTTCACAGTCATGCCATTTGGGTTGACTAATGCACCAGCAGTGTTCATGGATCTCATGAACAGTGTGTTCCGGAAGCATCTTGATCAGTTTGTTGTGGTCTTCATTGATGACATCTTGGTGTACTCAAAGACACAGGAGGAGCACCCCGGGCACTTACGCATTGTCTTGAGCATTCTTCGGGAACAGCAGCTTTATGCCAAGCTGTCCAAGTGCGAGTTCTGGCTGCACGAGGTTACCTTCCTCGGCCATGTCATCTCGGCTGAAGGTGTGAAGGTAGATCCGTGCAAGATAGCAGCGATCATGGAGTGGAAGACTCCGCGTAATGCACGAGAGGTGAGGAGTTTTCTCGGACTGGCGGGTTACTATCGCCAGTTCGTGAAGGACTTCTCCAAGATAGCGTCACCACTGCACAAGTTGTTGAGGAAGGACGTCAAGTTTGTTTGGACTGACGCCTGTCAGCAGAGTTTTGAGCAGCTGAAGGAGTGTCTGACTCAGGCACCAGTTCTAGTCCAGCCCACTCCAGGAGTGGAGTATACGGTTTTCAGTGACGCATCCCATAACGGCTTGGGGTGTGTTCTCATGCAGGAGGGCAAGGTCGTTGCTTATGCATCTCGGCAGTTGAAGCCACATGAGTGTAATTATCCGACGCACGACCTTGAGCTAGCAGCTATTGTACTTGCTTTGAAGACATGGAGGCATTACCTCTACGGTGAGACATCGCGTATCTTCACCCACCATAAGAGTCTTCAGTACTTGTTGACACAGAAGGATCTGAACCTCCGACAGAGGAGATGGTTAGAGTTGATTAATGACTATGATTGTCACATTGCTTACCACCCAGGTAAGGCGAATGTGGTAGCCGATGCCCTTAGTCGGAAGACTCTAGCTGTGTTACACGTCCAGCCTACATTACAGCAGCAGATAGCATCAGCCCAGAGCAGCGATGATTTCTGTATCCATACTGTTGAGCTCGTCTCTCGAGGAGAGAAGCCGGATTTCGCAGTTCGTGAGGGTATCTTGTATTATTGGGAGCGTATGGTTGTGCTAGCGGGGGAGGTGAGAGAACGCCTGCTTCGTGAAGTACACAACACTGTGTATACCATGCACCCGGGCAGTAACAAGATGTTTTAGGATCTTATCAGACATTACTGGTGGCCCGCGATGAAGCAGGAGATCACGGAGTTCACATCACGGTGCTTGACTTGTCAGCAAGTGAAGGCCGAGCACCAGGTTCGTTCGGGATTGCTTCAGCAGATCACCATTCCTGAGTGGAAGTGGGATCGCATCACGATGGATTTAGTCGTGGGACTGCCATTGTCACCACGTAAGCACGACACGGTTTGGGTCATCGTTGATCGGTTGACCAAATCAGCACATTTTCTTCCCATACGTCGTGACTTCTCACTTCAGCGGTTAGCAGAGTTGTACATCCGCGAGATCATCAGGCTACATGAAGTTCCATCATCTATCATTTCTGATCGTGATCCTCGATTCACATCGCAGTTCTGGAAGAGAATACAGAGGGCATTGGGCTCCGATCTCCACTTCAGTACGACATTCCACCCTCAGACAGACGGTCAGTCAGAGAGGGTGATTCAGATTCTCGAAGATATGATGCGTGCGTGTGCAATTGACTTCGGGGATGGTTGGGAGTGATACCTGCCACTCATGGAGTTTGCATACAACAACAATCACCAGGCTAGCATCGGTATGGCACCATATGAGGCTCTGTATGGTAGACCCTGTCGTACCCCTACTTGTTGGACAGAGCTCAGTGAGAGGAGGTTGAAAGGGCCTGATCTTGTTCATGAGACCGAGGAGAAGGTCCAGGTGATTAAGGATCGACTTAAGGTGGCTTCGGACCGACAGAAGTCCTACGCTGACCTTAAGAGGCGTGACATCGAGTATGCAGTCGGAGATAAGGTTTTCTTGAAGGTGTCGCCTTGGAAGAACGTCATACGTTTCGGTAAGAGGGGAAAATTGAGTCTGAGGTTTATAGGCTCGTACCCCGTCACTGAACGGGTGGGACCTGTAGCTTACAGGCTCGAGTTACCATCGGAGTTGAGCAAGATCCACGATGTATTCCACGTGTCCATGCTCCGGAGGTACCGGTCGGACCCTTCCCATGTGATTCCAGCTGATACAGTCACACTTGATGAGAATCTTACGTACGAGGAGGAGCCGGTTGAGATTCTGGCTTGCGAAGTCCGTCAGTTGAGGAACAAAACCATTCCGCTGGTCAAGGTTCTGTGGAGAAGTCACACCGTCGAGGAGGCGACATGGGAGACCGAGGAATCCATGCGCACTCGTTATCCACATCTTTTCCGTGGCCAGTGATCAGGTAAATTTCGAGGACGAAATTTTCTTAAGGGGTGGATAATTGTAACGCCCTGCAACCCGATCTAATAGAATTGGTTAATTTAATTAATCAATTACTGTTCCGGACCGGAGTTGGAGAAAATAAAAAGTTCTTAGAAAAATTATTTGATCATATCATTAAATTCGTCTTGACTCTCTGATTCCAGAAGTGCAAACGGATCTCAATTCGGACCCGTTTGGGGGGAAAGCGCGTACCATTCAGGTCAGACTTTACATAACGGAGTAGAATAAAGATTGTAACCCCCCAAATTAATCCCATACGCCACCCTTAACTGGAAGATTGTTTTCATATGAAGGACTTGGGAACACTGAAATACTTTCTTGGCATTGAGGTGGCGAGGAGCACGTCTGGGATTTTTCACTGCCAACGGAAGTACGTTTTGGATATTATTACTGAGGTAGGATTGTTAGGTGCCAGGCCGTTGGGTGCACCCATGGAACCAAATCATCATTTGGCTCGTTCCCAAGCTCCTGTTCTGACAAATCAAGAACCATATCGCCGTCTGGTAGGGCGATTAGTCTATATATCTGTTACACGACCAGAGCTTTCTTATGCATTCCATATGTTGGCACAATTTGTGAATGAACCCAGGGAGGATGAGTGGTCTATAGTAGCTCTTGGGGTTGTTCGTTATTTGAAGGGATGTCCGGGTCAGGGCATTTTTCTATCAGCGGAGAGTAGTCTCCAGCTCACAGGATGGTGTGATTCAGATTAGGCAGCATGTCCATTAACGCAGCGCTCTCTGACAGGATGGTTTGTGCGGCTTGAAGATTCACCTGTCTCATGGAAAACCAAGAAGCAGACAACAATTACTCGCTCGTCTGCTAAGGCCGAATATAGAGCTCTTGCTGCCATTACATGTGAGTTGAAATGGTTGAAGAATTTGTTGCGGTGTCTAGGGGTTGAGCATAAGAATCCTATGACCATTCATTGCGACAGTACGACCGCCCTTCACATCGCTGCTAATCTAGTTTTTCACGAATGTACGAAGCATATTGAGATTGATTGTCACTTCATTCGTGATGAGCTTCTACGTGGAGAGATTCGCACACTTCATGTGCCTACTACACATCAACTTGCAGATATTCATACGAAGGCACTTGGGAAGTCACGGCTGGAGTTAATTTCTTATTCCCAAGTTGGGCATTTCTTTATTACATGCTCCTACTTGAGGGGGTGCTAAAGGAAGGGAATATAAGGGAATATTTGGATGTATATTGTTTTTGGTAGTTTCCTTGTATAGGGATTTGTTTCCTTGGTTGATTAGGATTCTCAGCATGTGAGAGCCTATATATATGACTTCTTTGTAAATTGTAGAGATGAGAAATATAAGAGAATTTCTTCCCAAATAATTCTTTTACACTAAAATATTAAATTAATAAATTAATTATACATTTTCAATTTTTATTTTTTAGTAAGTTTAGGTAATATTTTTTGTGTGTAACTTTAACATACTTAAACCTATGTTTTTATAGTATTTATTATCCCGAAGTACCACTCAGATAATAAATTTATTTGTTGAAAAATCAAATATAATTATATTTTATCAAAAATTGTAACTAAATAATACATTTGTTGAGTAAGAATGCATAAAAATATTGGTACACCAGTTCTTTTAATTACGTCGATTGCTTTTTATAAATAAAAAAATTTCAAAGCTTCGATATATTATGGAATAGTTTGGCAATAATATGGCATGGTACCATCCTGTTGCCAAACGACATGGAGTGGCAGATCCATATTAGAGTAGTTGGGGGCAATGGCCCCCTACTACTTTAAGTTTTTTTTAATTATATGTATTGTGATACTTAATTTTTTTAATTCTTCTTAGAGTAATTTAATTTATGACCCCAACTAAAAATATTAGAGATCTCAATTGAAAGCATTAGAGACCTCAATTAATAGTGTTAAGAAAACAATGAGAGAAGTTGAATATTTAAATATTAAAAGAATATAATTTTAAAGTGAAATATTTAAAAGTCCAAAGATAAATTTTAAAGTAGTACACTAAAAATATACGAAATAATAATTAAACTAATTTATAATATTGGAATTAAATAAAAAATTGATTTTTTTAGTTTTTTACTATTTGAATAACTATTTGAGGGTAAATTCATTAATTTTTTAAAGTTTCACATTGCATGTATAAAAAAAGTTTTGGGAACATTGCTCCCGAACACCCAAAAAGTGACCCCTACTAGCTAACATCCTGGATCCGCCACTGACGACATGGTTTTGAATGGGTTTAGGCTTAAACCTGAAACCGTACTAAACTATTTGAATAGTAACGATATAGTACATATTCTTTACAAATACTGAACTATGACGGACCGTACTCACCTCTACATACAGATTTCATAGTTACACAATACTCGAATTAATCGTCCCACTTCACTATTGAAAACCAAATTTTTGTTTTCTTTCTTTAATTATCTGTGTTAATTATTTATTAAAATAACATAGTCATGTCAGCTCTTATTTAATTATTAAATTTAATTTAATTTTTAATATATAAATTTTATTTTATTATTTGATTCTATTATTTAACTAAATTGAATTGGAAATAAACTTAGCCAATCATACTGGTCTGCCATGGGACAATAAATTTTGGTTGAGATGAATAGTTATTTTTAAGAAAAGTGAAGATGTGAATCACTAATAATATAAGGGAGTACAAATGTTGGAGGTGTATGTTAAGCTAAACCTTAGTGTTCAGAGGTGAACTGATTGCTTGGGCAAGAGCATGGATAACCGCGCGTTTGCAGAACGGTAAGCAAAAGTAAAAGAGATTTTCGTTGGATACCCTCGATCAAGTTGTTTCACCTTGATGATATTGAAAAGTTTGAATACCTAGCTCCCTTGCGGTAGTCCATAATCTCTTTGGTTTTGCCTCAAATGTCCTCCGTTACGCTTGAATTGTCAAGTCTTTTAATGATGGCTCACGAGGTGGAGATCTTCTTTGGTTCAACCCTTTCCCTTTTGCCTAGAAACACGAGTGGGACTCTCCACCTTGAGGACAAGCTGGTAGCTTTTTAAGGGGTGGAAATGATACATATGATGATTAGCATCTTTAATTATTTATTAGTAAATTAGCATTTAGTATTTAATAAACTATAGTTAATAGGTTTTATAGTTTTAGTATGGGCTCGATCTCATTAGGTCAAGAGGTGTGACTCTCATCCCTATATATTGTGATCTTGTAAGGTTATTATGAATCAATCAATAATCAAGAATTCTCTTAATCTTGTTATCTTTTCTCTGAAGCTCGGAAATGTTCGAAGGTTTCTTTCACTCTTTGCCTCCCCTTTCTTGGAGCTTGAAGAACGTTTCCCGATACGGATCGTACAAGATTTGTATCAATTTATTCTCAAAATAGAAGTTTCATGTTTTTATCATCAAAATAAGAATTTGCACTGCGACATTATGACATTGTATAGTGGCATCTCATTATATTTTTTGGTATTATATTTTGACATTCTTGGCATTATTTTTTTGATTTGAAGATAAAAAATATGGAGCTCTTATTTTTATTTTTTTTATGTTTTACTCTTAGTTTAGTCATATTTTTACTTTTTCATTTACCACCCATTCATCTTTAGTTAGTGACAATTCACGCAAGGAAGAATGGTTAGAGCCTAGTTACGCATGTAAAGACGATAAATTATATATTGGCAAAATAGAGGTAGGATGAACTTTTTTGCTTTGGGACAAAAAGGACATTTAAAAAGTGGATAGAAGCTATCAGTTTAGAGAACTTTAATTTGGAGCCCATAAGCATAGCCCATGCTCATGCAATGTGTACTCGGATTTTGTGCACGCCAAGCTAAGGACCCAAATGCAGGATAGAATTAAGAGCTTCCATTAAGATCTTGTTCTTATTTTCTCCATCTCAAAATATTTTAACTTTGTACCGAATGAAGCGAAATCTCATTTTTTTTCAATTGATTTTATCAAAAAATTGATATATATAGAAACTAGGAATAAAATTTACTCCCTCCGTTTGGAAAAACCCTTCCCATTTGATTTGGGGGCAAAAATAAGGAAGTGTTAAATTATAGTTGATTTCCAATTTTGCCCCTGATGTGATGGGTAAAAGTAAGATATGATGGATAGATTATTAGAAAAAAAGTATGATGTGATAGGTAGGGTATGAAAAAGTAAGGGTAAAAATGGTTTTTTAATAGAAAGGGGAAGTGTTTTGTTGGAAGTAGAAAGAATGAAAGAGGAAGTGTTTTTGAGAACGGAGGGAGTATATATTTAAAAGCTACGTCAAAAATTCTAGAAAACAAGAGGTAAGAAAAATGTTTTATCTTATCCAATAATCAATCAAAACGCACAAATAAATAAAAAAAGTAAATTTTGAATACTGATGAGTGTAATTCTTTTTGGAACGGAGCAAATATAACATATTACTCCTTGCGTCCCGAATTAAATTGTCTATTTACTATTCACATGATCAAATTTTATTCTCTTTCTTTTCCTATTTTTATTAGTAATTTGATAAAATCATATAGTCATATCATCATTAGTTTTGTAGATTTTTTGATGTAGTTATTAAATACTCCCCCCCCGTTCCACAAAAACACTTCTGTTTTAATTATTTGCGCAATCCATAAAATGCTTCTATCCCATCTAAAATGTCTAAAATACCCCTAAAACAAGTTCTACCCGTAATAAACTAAATAGTGGGGTATATTTTAGATATTTTAGGTGGGAGTAAAAGCGTTTAATGAGGTGCGCAAAAATTTAGGGCGGAAGGGTTTCAAGGAACTAAGGGAGTATGTAATTTTTTTTACTTCTGTACTATTTTTTATATACAATGATTTAAAAATAACTTCAATCTAACATTGTAAAGAGAAACCTGTAATTTAAATTGGGATAAAGAAAGTACCTATTTTTATTAAAATCAGATCATATCAAAAATATTTTTAAATATAAATACAAATAGATCAGATCAAAACTTATTCTAACTCGATAGAGCCCTTAACATTCCTTAGCATGGATTATTAAGGCGGTCGAGGTGATTAATTAAGCTATATAACCTGGTGGTACATGGAGTTCTGAAT